GCCCAGCCCGTGCCCGCCTGGGCGGCCCCCCCTCGGGCCGCTGACGAGACCTCCTCTTCCCCGCCCAGGGCAGCCCATCGTTTGCAGCATCAAGCGGGAGGAAGCTGGGTGGACGGGAGCCCAGAAACTTGGGGTCTGTTTCTCTGCCCTCGCCCGGTATTGCTTCTGTGCAGAGCACCCCGGGGCAGCGTCCATCGGCTCTGTGGATGTTCTTCCCCGCCCAGGGCAGCCCATCGTTTGCAGCATCAAGCGGGAGGAAGCTGGGTGGACGGGAGCCCAGAAACTTGGGGTCTGTTTCTCTGCCCTCGCCCGGTATTGCTTCTGTGCAGAGCACCCCGGGGCAGCGTCCATCGGCTCTGTGGATGCCTCCGTGAGTGTGCTTTTCCGTTGGCATCCCTTCCGTTTCCCCGTTTGTATGTTTTAGTCTGTCTCCTCTCTCGTTTCACTTTTAGCCCCACCCCCGATCATTTTTCTCCAGGTCTCTTTTGTGCTAACCCCCTTTGTGGGGACTGGGACATGGCATCTAGTTTTCTTGGGGAAATCAACAGAAACATAACCGTAAGTAGGCACCTGGAGAAACGCAAGAGCAAAATAAGCATATGCGATACTGTCCCATGGCATATTCCAGCCTCCCAACTGTTCTCAGCTGGGGGACTTTCTGAGCTGGATGTGGTTTCCGTGTATTTAGTGGTCTTCGGCTATTTGTCCTCCATGAATGTGTCCTTCTTCTCTTGAATCTATGTAAACTCTTCATTTACAGAACATTCTTTGGGTAGGAGTGATCTGCATGAAGGTGATGTGCGATGAACTGGTTCCTTTTAGCCTGACTCACTGGGTTTGTTTGATAACTTCTTGTTCCAGTATTAGAAAAGAAGGTGAATCACTGCTCTCTATTCAGCCTGTTTGTGCACTTCACTGGCTTGTAGACCTCTGGCATGTTTCCGTTGGTCATCTTCTTTTCCAGACTGAGGCATCCTCACTTGCTTCCTTGTTTCTCGTATGGGAGCCACTGCACACCTTTGATCATCCTTGTGGCCCTTCTCTGAACATTTCCCAGCTCTACTTTGTCCTTCTTTAGATGAGAGGACAAGAATTGCAGACAGTGCTCAATTTGCATGCGAAAAATGGATTAATATAGCGGCACACAGGAGCAATGAGTTATGCTTTTCTGCAATAGATACACAAAATAAGTGGAACATGTTTTCTGAACAAGAGTTGAAAAAAATATACTGGGAACTTACAGGGAACTAGAAAGCAATCTTGGATGAAAAATTGCTTGCTGGATAGAGAGGTACTAGAGGCTGTGTCATCAATTCAAAATCCTAGATTATTTTTAATTGTCACCTTGTTTGACTTTCATTTCACCCCATTTAAAGGATTCATAGAAGTGGAAACAGCATTTTTCTTGTTTGAGGCAGCTGCAAAAGAAACAGAAGTAGCATGCTTGGATCTTTCTTTATTACTGCTTTTGGGGGGAATCTGTTGTGCAGTCTTCAAAACCGAGGTGAAGATCATTTGCCTACAGAGATGTACTTGTTTCGGAAATAGAATTTTAAATTGTTCTTTCTTTGGGAGTCTTCTATTATTGCTGCTATCTCTAGGTTTTATAAGTGTGTTACACTTCCAAGGTAGATCACTTATCTGCCAGAAAAACAAAATAAATGCCTTTTCCTCCAGTGTTCTCACTGCTGTTGCTTTGGTCATAACTAGGATGACAAGGGCAGACAGTTGTCTTTCCAAGCACGTATCTGCCCATTCTGGTGATCTAATTTTTTTCCCCTCATTTTATTTTGTGTGGTACAAGTGATTTTTAGTTGCAGTGCACTCGGTGTTTGCATTGCTGATTAACTTAATATACATGACATGAAGAGGTACTGGTGTATATTTCATTTTGGATTGACATAACGGTAAATGCGATACTGAATGCCCTAAATCTTGTTTTGTTTAATATCTTTCCAATTCTTGTCTTGTTTAAGAAGGTAGACATTTTCTGTTCATTCCATGAAAAATGTTATCATTGAGATCTTGGTTTGCTCAGGATAATTCATAAATTGCTTTGAAAATCCTGTTAAAACACAAATACAGGTGTCCCGACACAGGCAGACACCACTTTAAAGGTTTATTTATGTTACTATCTCTAGTTTCTAACTTTTAAAGCTAACAGTTGGGAGTTAAAAGTAGACTGATTTAGACCTGAGGTAATATACAACCAGAGTAATTAAAAGTTTTATTGTGGGATGTGAAGATTGACACTTCAAGTTTGAAGTTGAATGGCTTTATGAAAGAGCTGGTATAAGTCCAGAGGAAATCAGTGGCTACAAAATTTCAAGCAATGTTGGACGGTAGATCAAACTGGATAGCTAAAAATTCTGGAGCATGAGTTACAGTTAAACCTTGTCATCACACATGGATGTCATCTTTAATATAGTAACTATAACAGATTTTTTGCAATTAGTCTTTTTGTATGGAGACTTGCACTCTGTGAATTAGCGTCATTGCCTTTCAGACTATAAAATAAAAGGGCCAGGGATTCAAACTGCTGTTGTTTACAGAAAAGTTAACAGAAGCCGAAGAAGCCCCCAGTCTTGTGATATGATCTGTGTGGCCTAGCAGACTGGGCTTTTTAATTGTATGTTAGACTAAAAATTCATAAATCTGCTTAGTTCCAGTAGATCTGGAAGCAGGAAAAAAAGTGACATATTTACTTTATAAAAGCTTTCACGTATGAATAACAGGCAGCTCAATTTAAAAGTAATGGGACTAGCGCAATCTTTGTATTATAGTAATGTGCTTGGTACACTACTGTACCATAGCAGGGTAAAACCAGGATGAGAGTAGAATGAAATTGGCACAAATTTCTCCCAGTGTCTGTATCAACTTATCTAAACTACTGCTTTCCTTCATTTGTGTAATACGTTCACCATGGAATAAACCAGTTAGCTTCCAGTTTGGGTTCTGGGTAATCCCAGAGTATGGCCTCAAGAGAAAACTATCGGATTTTCTAAGGAATAACATAGGAATTGATTTCTGTATTGTTACATTGTTATTTTAGTTAGGCATATGAAATACTTTAATTCAGTCTTTTTGTCAAATATATCTGCTGTGGGATTGAACCAGTAGCAATAACTGGCTGTTACCTGCTGCTGTGTGGATTTCTCAGAGTGTGATTTTAGGTATTGTGTTGCAATAACTTAAAAAAAATGTCTTCAGGGGCAGCAGACCTGCGACAGAGAAAGAAGCAAAACTGCACAGAATCTGACAAAATGGCTCCAGAGGAGAGAAACAAAGAAAACTCAAAGCTGGGAAGATCGCCAAAATGTAAGCTACAGAATTTTTAGCCAACTTCTGATTTTTTTTTTTTCATTATTCTTTTACACTTTACGGGAAGATATTTGTAGCACAGTAATTTGTAACAGACTTATTTTGAATTAGGTTTTTGAATGTTTCAAGAGAAAACAGGCATGCACATTAGAATTCTCTAATGACATTTTATGTATTGCAGAGTGAAATGGTAGTCCTGGATTGTTTCAGGTTAGGGGGGGAGAGGCAGAGGGGTTAAGAATCTTACTGTTGTTACTATTTGAGTACAAATAAATATTTCAGTTGCGCCTGGAATGATCTTTCGGTTGGGAAGCTGAAAGGCATGAAGTAATGGTAGTGAAACAAGAACGGACAAAAGTCCTTACAGCTTTTCAAGAAACAGAACTAAAACCAGGTGTAATTTTAGGCAAGTGCTAAAAGTGCATACTAACTTGAGGGAGCTACGGGTGAAGTAGACACCCATTGAATGAGTTTGGTAAAATTCAGATTAGTTCCTTCCTCTTATATTTGAAAACAGAACAGGGAATTGAATGTCTCAGTATTGATGTTAGATGTGGTATTACCACCTCTTTCTGTTAATGTCTTTAAGAAGTTTGTGGTGTTTTGGGTAAAATCTAGAGTTTGCTTTGTTTATTTGGAAGACACTTTTTCTTCTTGGAATTCCTTTGAAAATGAAGCTTACTAGAATGGAGAGAAATTTGCAGGGTAGCGTGTGAGTATTTTATCTGAGTCCTATGAAGCAATGGTAACAACTGGGAAAGAAAACTGCAGGACAGGAATAACAAACCAGTTCTCGATATATCTGTACTGCTGATGGTGTGATAATTCTGATGCCAGTAAGGTGAGAGTTGGGGTTGTTCAGCCTAGAGAAGAGAAGGCTTCGGGGAGACCTTATTGCAGCCTTTCAGTACTTAAAGGGGGCTTATAAAAAAGATGGTGGGAAACTTTTTAGCAGGGCCTGTTGCAACAGGACAAGGGGGAATGGCTTTAAACTAAAGGGGGGTAGATTGTAGTATAGTTGATTTGGCATCCAGTTCAAGGTGCCTAGGTATTTTTTCCACCTCGTCTTTCTGCTCTTATCTCCCCAATGCCAACATAATTATTGTGATCATCTAAGACCTGTGAAGTAAAATCTAATCTAAAAAAAGAAAAACATGGAAACCATATTATTATTATCATGCTTCTATCAGTACTTAAAGGGGGCTTATAAAAAAGATGGTGGGAAACTTTTTAGCAGGGCCTGTTGCAACAGGACAAGGGGGAATGGCTTTAAACTAAGGGGGGGTAGGTATAGACTAGATAGAAGGAAGAAATTTTTTATGCTGAGGGTGGTGAAACACTGGCACAGGTTTCCCAGAGAGGTGGTGGGTGCCCCATCCCTGGAACCATTCAAGGTCAGGTTGGACGGGGCTCTGAGCAACCTGATCTAGTTGAAGATGTCCCTGCCCACGGCAAGGGGGTTGGTCTAGATGACCTTCAGAGGTCCCTTCCAACCCAAACTATTCTATGATTCTGTTTACTTGCTGTTTAGAAATGAGTCATATTTAGGGCATACTGTTTGTTTCTAAGTCCTCTGGACTATTTTAGCTTTTTCACTGTCCCTTTTCAGATATGTTAATTCAGCGTTTTGCGAAACTTTTCTTTGGCTGTCTTGCGGCAGTCACTAGTGGAATGATGTATGCTGTGTACCTCTCAACATATCATGAACGGAAATTCTGGTTTTCCAGCAGGCAGGTAAAGAAAAAAGTTAAACTACTGAAACAAAAGTCAAATTATGTCCTTGAAATCAAATCTGATCCATGTCATGTTGGAACTACTTGCTTGCAGAATCCCATGTTGTTCTAGTCAGGCCTCTGTCTTTGGTATAGTCTCTTTTTTTTGTTGCGTGGGGTTTTTTTTCTTTTATTTTTAAGTGTTTCTCCTACTAACAGTGGCCTTGTCTTGTCATGCTTTTATATGTTTTTCCATGCCATCCTTTATTGTTGAAATACCTTTCTAAAATTTGGAGAAAAAACTGAAGCATACTGGGATTGCATAAGCTAAACAACAGGAATGTATGTTTTTCTGTTGTGGGTTTGTTGTTTTTTTTTAAAGAACTGTATTATTTAGTGAAGTACGGAAAGTTGAATGAAATTCAGGTTTGTGAATATGAAAGGATCCTGTGGATCTTGTGCTGACTTACAATGTGGATTTGAGTTGCTCTGATTCCGAGCATGTTTGCTAAGTTATAGAGAGCATTATATACTTGACAGAGGTGCTGTGAAGATTAATGTTTTGTGGAATACTTTGAAGATGTACAGTGGAGTCATAACCATGTGCTGTATTACAAAACCAGTCTGTCTGAAAATATATAGTCTTCTATGGGAAGAGATTGCAGGAGGTGAATTTTTTTTTTTTCTAGGAACTTGAACGAGAAATTACATTTCAGGGTGACAGCGCCATTTATTACTCATTCTATAAAGAACTGCTAAAGGCTCCTTCCTTTGAAAGAGGTACAAAACCTGTTTGTTTTATTAACCTTGAAAAGTCCTGTTCCTTTTGGAGACAGTAAAAAACTCCTGCAGACAGGGGAGGCTGATTTTACACTCTTATATAGGTATATCAGTCAGATTAATTAAAAACTGCATGCTGACCTAACTTTTCAGTGCCTTTTAAAAAACAGTATTTAACTATCCTGTATTCCAGCAGATTGCCTTTAATCAATACTCTGGAATAGGATTAATATTACTCTCATAGTGCCCCATATGGAAGTTATCATTAGGTTTGCCTATGCTACATAGGGGCTTTTTTGCCATTTAAGCATAATTGATCTTTAATGGGGGATGGAAATGACTGTTTTCCATACTCTGTCGGAAGATGGAACAGTTTCTGTCAAGAGTTGATCTGCTCAATCCTGTCCCTGCCGGAGGTTTCTACTCCTGTCAGCTATGATGAATAGATGTTGATAAGCACTGAGCAATGGGGACAGAAACCAACAGGAAGGAGAATAAACTGGGTGGCAATGGTCTCTTCTCCCTTTGCGCTCCTGCTTTTTACCCTGCACTGGCTCTGGAGCTCACTGACCCCAGGTCCCTAAACCAGCAGAAAACTAAAGCAATGAAAAGAAGGTGGAACGCTTTCATGCTAGTTTAGTGAGTTCAGAAGGGGAAAAGGTGAGAACTCCAGGAGAGAAGAGGGAGCGAACAGCCCTGTCTCGCAGTGATCAGCCATTGAATTAGTTCAGTCCCCTTGTGAAACCTCATCCGAAGCCAGTTAAACTTTGCAGGTATAGTTTTATTGGTTGAACAGTTTCCCAGCTGATGTGTAGCTCATCAGCAATATATAATAGGTCTTTGGTACAGTCAGTTCGTCATTATCTCTGGGGAGATTACCCATGTGGTGGATAGATGGACTGCCTCATTCATGTATGCTGCCTCTGCAGACAGATAGACTCACGTGTCTACTAGGTATTATGGGGGTACCCAGTTTTCAAAGGTCTATCATAGCTGTGCTGAACCCAGTTATAAGTCCTGCAAGACCTGGTTTGGCCTGAAGAGAACCAGCTGCAGACCACACACCAAGATATGCTTAGAGCTGGAAACAGTAATCTTGTTTGGCTGTTGCATTGTTGTTGAGGTTTTTGTTCCTTTTTTTTCTCTTTCTCTAATTTGGATTATTTTTCCTCTTCCCTCTATTGTCCTAAGTAATGACGTCAGTTTTTTAATTTTAATATCTCAGAATGATGTATCCTTCAAGTACGCCAGCTTCAATTTCATCTCAATCCCATACAAAGGCGTATTGTGTTTAGTGAGTGATTCTTAGAAGTCTCAGAAACACAGGGCTGAAAAGGGTGATGAGGCCATCATATCTGACCTCTCTGCGGAGACAGGTTTAATACATCCTGCTCATCCCTGTTAGATCTTTGTCTCACTTCTTAAGAACCTCCTGTGAAGGTGATCTGTAGGTAGCCGGTTCCAGAGCTGCATCAGTATGTTGCTGAAAAGACTACACTTCAGCTGGTTAGTTTTGGGCCTTCTATTTAAAGGCTAGATCAAAAAAAGGTAATAACTTTGTTGCTAAATCAGTAGGGTGGAATGGCATCTGGCACATAAATTTCTCCTTCCTTTAAAATTGGGAGTGGTGAATCAGTAGCTTTAATGATGAAATCTGTTTCCCCCTACCTCTGAGTACACTTTCACCTCTTTTAAGAACAGCAATAGTAAGTGATTCCAAGAATAATATATTTTTTTTGTCTATAGGTGTTTATGAGTTGACACACAACAATAAGACAATATCACTGAAGACGATAAATGCAGTCCAGCAAATGACTTTGTACCCAGAGTTGATTGCCAGTGTTTTATATCAAGCATCTGGTAGCGAAGTATGTGCATTTCTCCTACTTTCTGTGCTTTCATTAAGGTTGTGTATGTGTGTGTGTATGAGACTTTCTATGCTGCATACAATAAATACATGCAATTTTTGTTGAATTAATTGAGCTAAGCCTCTTACCAGATCCAGGTTTTCCTCAATTCTGATCAGTCTCTGGCATAGGATTTTGGGGGTTTATATGCGCTAAACTTTTCTGTCTGTTATTCTTTACTCCTACAAACCACTTAGAAATGTGGAGAGTATCTGTGCTATCCAGTAAAAACAGGAAAGTTAGCTCCTTCGGAGTACAGAAGTCTGTTATAGTGGTACCTGTCTCTACCCATTCCTGTATAGATAAAAGGGAAAAACACTTTTGTAGATAAACCTTTTGTCTCCTTCTGCTCTACTCAGGCTTTGTTCTGCTTATGCTGCATACTTGTGTCCTCTCTCATTTATCTTTATTTTTTATTATTTATTTATTTAATATATGCTTCTCTGTGTTTGGAACCATTTGCCACATCTTTACTTCTCCAAGTTCCTCCCCTACATAACTTCTTCCAGTAGTCCTGTGAACTTTATAGCTCACTGCAGTATAGATTTATTAAATCTGACACATACAGTGTTCATGCTAAAGCAAATACAAAAATCATGGCACTAGCAAGCTGAGTCCTGACGTGTGCTCTTAATTCACACTGCTTTGTTCTCCCTGAGCCCAAAATAAAAGCATGCTCAGTACTTTTCTAGAATAGGGGCTATCTCTTACCTGTTTGTAAAGCACCTAGCACACTGTTAGCAGTATGCAAATAGTAAATAGTAATCATTTCCAGCTTCAGCTCAGTTGCCGCTATGTCTCTTCGTTTTTATTTGTAATTTCAGGAAGTTATTGAACCAGTGTATTTCTACATTGGTATAGTTTTTGGACTGCAGGGAATTTATGTGACTGCATTGTTTGTAACCAGTTGGGTTATGAGTGGGACTTGGCTGGCAGGAATGCTGACTGTAGCATGGTTCATTATTAACAGGTAAGAAAAACATCTTTATACAATCTAGCTTGTCAATAAGGCATTTTAAAATATTAGAGCGGATTGAAATGCTTTCTATTAAACTTTGTGTTCTCATTGTGAGAGCAAGCTCTTATGCTGAATAAAAAACATTTCCCAGAGTTGCACTGATTCTCATGATGCTTTTATTAATGGAAAGGCCTCCTGTTGTCCAAACCATCCACGCTGCCAGTTGAACTGACTTTATGTATGTGTGTGAATATAGGAGTATTCTCACACAATTCCATTTTGCAAAAACATTCCTCAGAAGGTTTTGGTTTTGGCTGGTGAAGAATTAAAACAAATTTCCGAAGTTGCTGTAAAACAGAATTGCTCTCTGTGGCCAGCTCTAAGTATTGTGATGGTTGTTCTGTTGCTTAGAAGGAAATGACCAAGTGCATTTTCCTTGTAAAGAGTCTTTGATATTTTTCTTAATCTGCTTTTTGTAGTGGGTTTTTGCGCAAAGTGGCATCTTCTTAGATGATCCTGATCTCAAGATTTTTTTATTTTAAAACGTTTCACTTGCAAAAAATGTCCCTTCCCTTTATGAAACACCACAATAATAGGGAGCCTCGTTTGGGCAATGAGAACTTGTGTTCAGGTTCCTGGTTTGTCACCAAGTAGCTCTGGGGCTTTCTATGAACTTGAGAGCACTTGAAAGAAAGAGCTATGGAGGAGCAAAATGTTAGAGATATACCTTTAAAGTTGAACTGTTGGGAAGCGTCTTTTAGGAGTGTGAAGTCATCATGACCAAATCTGTGATTAGTAGCTAAAAATATTGTTCATCAAGCTGGTGTGAACAGTGGAAAGTAGGAAAAATGGTGAATAAATCTGTATTTTTTTCAACAGCAAAGAAGATTAAACATTGTTAACAAATTGAAAGGTCCAGTGGTTTAAAAAGCTCCAAATACGCCTCTGTAAGAGGCTTCAGAGGTAAAAATGAAAGGTGACACTTTCAAATAGCTAAATGATAAAGGAGCTTGAGGCTCCTTTTTAAACGCATAGTAGACACAAAGAAGACTATGTACCTCTGAAACTGATGCCTTTGATCACATTTGAAAGTGTGACTTGTGCTTCTAAGTCACTTTAGCACTTTTTAAAACTTTCTCCTACAGCTCTAATTGTGCAGATACTGTCAAGTCATTCCATGAGAAGATCCTGCTGCTCTTCTGGCCCGTGCTCCCCATCCAGCTTTAATCTCTTGTTTTGCTGGGCAGAATTTTCCCTGTAGACAGAGTATCTGCTGGTGCTGCTGCTACGGGGGAGCACTACTTTGGATTCTAACTATGTTGTGCTCGACCGCCTAAATCACTTATTTAAAACATACTGTATGAGAACTGAAAGGAGTCTTTTCTCACAGCTACGAGCTGATTTTCATCATAATGTGAAAAGCTGCTGTTACGGCAGTGGTCCCCTGCCTATGGACATAAGACCATTTAGCACTGCTCCTGGCCAAAGAAGGCTCCGTTGTCACAGTGCAGGTTGGCAGAAGCAGTGCATGGTGCATCCGGCTTGCACAGTGTTGTGGTGAGTCAGAAAAGGCTGGAGGTGGACAGTTTTTGGCTTCAGTCCTATGAACGCCACCTAATAAGGAGACCTGCTGAATAAATGAGTAAAGATTGGACCTTCCATGCTGATATTAAATTTGTGACCTGTATCAGTAGCGAAATTGTGTCAGTATTACTTTACACCTAATAGGTGTAGTTTGCTTGCAAGGCCACACTGATAACTAGAAGTGACATTTAGGCTTTCCTTGATATTTTTGTTCCATAAATCTTACAATAATTTTGTTTGTCTGTACTTTATTCTAGGACAGATACAACAAGAATTGATTACTCCATACCATCAAGGGAAAATTGGGCTTTGCCATATTTTGCATGTCAAGTAGCAGCCCTCACAGGCTATTTAAAAAAAAACCTAAATTGTTCTGCTGAGGTAAAGCAAAATTAATTTCCTAATAAAGAGTTGCTGGTAGAACTGTGCTCTAGAATAGTTACCTCTGTCACTATTGCCCTGCTAGGCAGAAAACAGTAGATGTTTTGTTTGTTCTTTTCAAAACAGCCACTTGGATTTCACCTAGGCATGTGCAGTTTTTGCTGAGCGACTCATGCCCTGCCCTGTTATGCCCCCATGAGGGTTCAGAGAGAACAGTGTGGTAATGAGCTGTATGCTGTCTTTTTAAAATAAACTGATGCAGAATTTTTCTAACTATGTAAACTATTTTGTTGTTCTTCCTGTTGCTCGGAGAAGATGGTGGTAACTTCCTTTCCCTGTGTCTCTGTCAAAGATGTTTCTTCTGATTGGCTTTAAAAGTTTTTGAATGTTTCAGTAATTACTTTCTTCCATCTGAGAACATGTTAAATATGTCTGCAGTCAGTGTTTTAATTATTTCCTAAAATAATAACGAATTTCCATGGTTTCTGTTTTAATGACCTCTCAGTTACTTGGTGACAGAGATGCATAGGTATGAAATTAACACCTTTTTTGTTTTTCTCTTTTTCTCTAGAAGTTTTGTTACCTTTTGGTGAGTGCTTCAACATATACCTTCATGATGATGTGGGAATACAGTCATTATCTCCTGTTTGTCCAGGCTGTTTCTCTTTTTCTGCTAGACAGCTTTGCCCTGGCACAGACAGAGAAGGTATTAGAACTCTTCAACCTACTGATAGTTGGGGACTTAAATACAGCCTCAGAGGAGCCTGCCATACATACTGCTCAGGAGCTCCAAAGGGCACAGACTGAGTGATGACTTGAGTGTCTTGCAGCCTGGGTCCAGCTGAAGTGCATGTCATTTCCATTGGCAGAATAAAATGGCTTTAAACTCACTCTCTTTTGGACTACTGTGTTTGGGACAGCTTTCCTAACAAAAGGTCAGAAGCTAAACAAAGCTTCTGAGACCTGAAACATCCTTGGAGAACTGAAAGTGTGATGAATGATACTCAGTCATGCATCCTTTTTGGCCTAGGTGCCTCTTCTTCTCCTTTCCCTATTCACAGCAGGGTGGGGCTGACCAAAAAACTGCTCTGGTGGCTCTGTGCAGTTAAGGGGCTCATTTTCACCCTGAATGGCCTGCCCTGTACTGATTTAGCCAATAAATAAGCTAGACAGATGCTGAAGACCAATTGATTTTTCAGTACAAGAAAGTATGTGAATTTATTCTGCAAAATGGTTCTTAGAAATGTTGCATTTTTACTCTGCCTGTTGCAATGGTATATATGCTACTTCGTACATGTGTGCCTTCTAGTTTTATTAGATATAACTTCCATTTCATACTGCATGCAATACTAATTCGTCACCTCTTCTTTCAATTGCTTTTTTTCCTGTTCCTCAGCAGTGGGAGATGTTTGATCTATCTTAGTTCAAAGCAGGGTCCTTAAAATGTAAGGGAGAAGATGGGTGTTTTGGTAAAAGTCTAAAGAATCAAGTGTCAGGGTTTACAAATCTGCTTATCAATTAGTAAATAACAGAAAATATCAGTAACAGTCTGTGTATTCCTGAGATAGGTTAAATGAACAAGTTATTGAGAGGGCAAGGAAAGCGCATGTTTTTACAGTATTCAGCTTTTCCACACAAATTGTGTGTTTTCATACTGTTGCATTGTGGTTACTGCTTCACGCTGCATCACAGTGAGTTGTTACAGAATGGGGACATTGTAAAATACTACTACCTTTGGCATTTTTACAGAATTCATGTGAAGTAATTGTGCACTAGTTACTGAGGCTGACCAGGATCACTTTGATGTGAAATACTTTACAGAGCCAAACGGTACCCTGCTGGATTCATGAGTTGGAGGATAGAGATCCATTAATCCCCTGACAGAGGAATGGAGTGAGCTATCTACTGCTCTAAAAAGCAAGACATATATCCACTGTAATTTTATTTTATTGTGTTTTATTTTTTCTTCAACAGGTGCATGAAGTATACAAAATCTACTTGTTTTCTCTCTTCTTGGGGTACCTTTTGCAGTTTGAAAATTCAGCCTTACTAGTGTCACCATTACTGAGTCTTGTAGCAGCTTTAATGCTTTCTAAATGCCTTCAGGTAACTAGACTCTCCTCTAACTCTGAGTGTACTTTTTATTATTTAAATTGAACTCCAAATGATATGGCATTCTTAAAATATTTTTGCAGATGAATATGAAAAAAGGTACATTTATGTCAAGATTGCTGAAAATAATGTACATTTATTTGGTACTTACAATAACAGTGACACTAAACTTCTTACTAAAGGTAAGATTCCTCTATAAAAAGTGATTTGAATTGTCAAAATCTAAATGGCAAGTTGCAGATGTATCTTGGAAAAATCTTTTGAAGTGTTGCTTATCTTATTGATCTGAGAGTTCATAGCTTAATTCACAGCAAATTGGAGTACTAAAAATTGAGTAATTTTTTATCTGCATGAAAAGTCTTTACCTAACAACTCAAGCAGCTGGTTTTTGTTAGGGTTTTGGTCTTTTGGGTTGAGGTTGAAGCATAGTATAGAAATACTCCTTAAATCACACTTTAGCTATTTCATAAATGTGGTTTTTGTTATAACTTGGATGGCCTCTACAAACTGGGCTGAATATTAAAACAGTATTCTTGTGCAAGGAGAAGACCTGGTAGCCAGGAACAGGTATGAGTAGTCTCAGGGTAGATGTTAATGTTCAATTACATTTCAACTAGAGCATGGGAACAGAGACCTTCACTTAGTGTAGGAGTCAGCTAGGAGCTGAGATTACACAATGGGATTTTAGCCTGGTCTTGTATTTTGATTAGCAACTCCCTCTTGCTGGCTCTAGCCTTTTACATAATTTATTGTGCTTTTCCTCTATGTCTCAAACTCACCCTGGTTGTGTTAATTAACAGTGTCAACTTAAAAATAAAGAACCTAGTGAACCCTAAAAAGTTTGAGAGAATGCTCAGAACTGATTGTTTTCTTGTGCCATTCAGATTGGCTAGCCTTGCTGTATGTCCAGGAAAATAAAACCTAACCTTGAAAAATAAGAGTTAAATTACGTAGACAGTACACAGAACTTTTGGCTGCTCAAACAATTTATGTGAAGATTACAAATGCTCGTAACTTTTGCTAGGCTGCAGTCCTATTGTTTAGTGGAGGCAAACACAATGTTCTTTGGCTTGCTTGGGGGTAAGTCCACGCCCGTTTTTCATGATCTTTTTTACACCATTTGGTAGTCTTTTGACGACTTGTTGACAGCTTTTCACTTGCCTCCTGTTGGGGTACATGAATGAAATTAAGGGAATGATATTCTCAAGGAAACCCTAAAGGTAGATTTATTTAAGTGAAGATTTACACTACTACACTGGTACCTTAATTGGCACACTTAATCACATTTGTTAGTTATAACCAAATCTTGAATAGTTGATTGTTCCTTGCCATTTTGTAATCTGAATGAAATGACTACGTTAAAGCTGCTTCCAACACTTGACAAGATTTTTCTCTGCTAAATTAATTTTCAGATGTTTGTTCCTCATAAAGAAAATGAGCATTTGCTGAAGTTCATTGAAGTAAAACTTGGCTTAAACACAACTAAGTAAGTTTTTAAACTCTTTACACCTTCCAAGATGTCCAAACTTCTGAAACTGCTCTGAGAAGTATAAAATTTAAATGGCTTGTGAGAATTTTATAGAGGAGTTAGGGAAACAGTTTCTATTTGTCGCCTGGTTTTAAGATTGAATTAAAAAAAGATGCATATACAGAATTTACTTAGGATTTTGAGGTTTCTGAGGCACCTCAATATTTTTCATGCCTTGGGGTGAAAGCATTTCATAGATTTTTGTTTTCTTTTGACGTTGAAGAGCAAAAACTTTCTGTACCCCATCTAGTGTTTCTAATGAGACTTGAAAGCAAAGATAATAGGGTAAAGGTGGTGGTACTAACTTCTTATAGCCTGGAAAATAAAGGGCTCTGAAAAGAGCCATGAGCTATCGATGCTGTCTCAAAACAGGGTTGGGTTGTGGGGTTGTATTTTTTGTTTTGTAAGAATAACACCCCCAAAAAAAACCCTGTATGTCTTGGAAGAAATTAGGACAGGGGACAACTTAAAAGTCAGAGGGAATTGTTGTGATTCTAAGAAAAACTGTTTGCATCTGTGAGAGCTGACTGTTGGTCTACAAGAAGAAGACATCATGGCTACAGTTTTCTGGAAAACTTCAAATGGAGTATTGGTAAGGACTGGGACGCCTCCTGGACCCAAGCCAAGACTTGTAATTCTGTGCAGGAATTGGGACTCTCTCCTGGGAACTGCATCTCTCTTACAAAACTACTTCACAGCCTTTCCGGGGAAGAAGTGGAAAATGACATCACACATAATTGAAATTGTTGAGGAATTTTTGGAAGACAAGATGTAATGACATTGACTAAGACACATTCTTTAACACACATACATGCACGTTCTTAAGTGTTTTTGCAAGAAAAGAAAGGACTGCTTCTGGTCAGGATTTCAGTTTATTCAGCTACCAGGTATTATAGATAATTTTTTTTTTTTTTGATCCCCGGGGACTTGCTACATGTTACTTTCCAGGCTGTCAAACTCTGCAATGAAGCCAGTGATTGAGACAAACTGGGTGCAACTACGCCTAGAAAATTGTGTAACTGTGGGTTGGAATTATGGTTTGCAGCACAAGAGCTTCAAGATCTGTCTTTTAAGGCCAGTTTGGACATGCCCAGCTGTTAATCTTTAAACTGATTCTGTCTAATTGAAAGTGGTTCAGTTCTCTAGTCTTCCTTTGGGGGAAAAGAAAAAGAAAAGAGGGAGGAAAGTGAAACAAATTAAGGAAAGAATGCATTCACAGCATCACATGCTGCACCAATTCCAGTTGAGAATACACATTGATAGTGCTTCTTGGCAGAGTATATAATCTTTCTGCTCGTTAATTGAGAAAGAAGAATGATCAAATGGGTTCGGCTACAGAACTAGAATTTCAGCATTAAGGATTCTATTCTTGGCAGTGCCTCGGGCTTGTTTGTGATCTCAGATGACCACTTTCCCTTCTTCATCTCCCTGTTTGGAATGAGGACAAGCATACCTTCTTGCATCAATATCTCTAAAATCTTAATTCACTGTGACAACAAAGTGCTTTGTGGTCCCCATAATGGAGTTATATGGGAGGTTGGGTTTTTGTGATATAAAAGAGTTGTAGTCTGGTCTCTCCAGATCACAGATTCTTTTTTGGAAGATAAGCTTTTGACAGTTACTCTAAGGAGTACTTGCAAAGCAGTTTCAAATGATAAAAAGATAACTTTTCAAAGACAAATTTCAAATAGTTTCCTATGACATGAATAGGTTAAACTGTGATTGGTTGTGTGCTGGGTTTTTTTCTAATCTGTGGGGTATTATTGTTTTTAATGGGATGTTTTTGCCTTACTAGGAATTTTACAATGAATTGGCTCCTTTGTCAAGAATCTCTTCAGGCACCCTCCCAAGACTTTTTTTTGCGACTAACACAGTCATCACTGTTGCCTTTCTATATTTTAGTATTAATTATCTGCCTTTTTTCTGTAACTCAGGTCATTTTTAGGAGAATTTGGTAAGTATCTTATTTATACTGAAAAATAAGAAATTAAAAGTAAGAGGTTCATGGATGTCAAAGTGAATGGTCATGGTGTTTGTTGCTTTGAGTTTGTTGCACCATTGAGCTTGCCAGGGTGTGAGCATCAGTGGAAAGGCCCACCAGAGGCTCCTAAAGAAAGTCCTTTGGTGACAAGCTTCTTGAGCATCTCTCCAGTCAAGACAGGGAGTTGGCATTGGTTTGTTTTCCCATAGGTGCAATTCCTGCAGAGCTCTGGCTCAGGGTTTGTGATATGCTTATGTCTCTTCCCATTGCGAGGGAGAAAGATGTTTTGTCTGTTTTCCCCTTCCAACAGCAAAGTTATCTGATTGTTGCTAGAGAATTTGTTTCTCTGTTTTGGGTTTGGGTGTTTTTTTCAAGTTTATATACTGTGAAGGATGACATGGGTGGAGTTGAGAGGATTTCAGATTTCTAATGCTTCACTGGTTTTTGGGTTGTTTTTTTTTTAAACTCTTGTTTACTGTGATAAGGTCCATCAGCCTTTGCTGCTCGGAACAGAGCTGAAGTAAAACTGCCTCAATTATTTTTAGTTTCACAGTGATTCACAGTTCCCTTGAGAGAAGGGGTAATGGAGCTGTCTGTTTACAGACTAAGAATAGCAAGACTGTAGATCCTAGCGTAACTTGTCTTGGAAACTCAATGGCTAGGAAATTATCTTTTCCTGGTAGAAGATGAATGGTGTAACTGCTCAGGTATTAGGGCAAATGTCTCACTTGTCTGCAGCAAAAATCAATAGATTTTTTTCAAGGACTAAGACTTCTAATAGATAAAGATTATATTGCTATAAATGAAAATGTTTGTCAAGTTGGATGTGTGATAGTATATTCAAAACAATGAAACAAAATCTTCCGATTTTTTGCTAGTAGTTGAAATAGCTATTTACTACTTTGTAATGAGCAGTGACTCCAGTATGACCAACAGCTTTTTAAAGAAAAGCTTAAAATAAACCTTCTCCCCCCCCTTTTTTTTTTTTTTTTTAATTTATTTTGAAGCAGTTAATAATCTCAAATATTTTTCCATTTGTCATGAGGCTTATTATAAAATTGTAACCTGAAATCACATCATGGTAGAATAAAATGTTATCTATTGTGTGCCTTGCTGTCTCGTTTGTAGAAAAACATTTGTTGTAAGATTTTTGGTTATGATTTTTATTTATAATATATTACTGGAATTTATAATAATGTGACTAAAAACTGTTTTTGTTGGTTTACTTTGTCATAAAATGGTATACACAATTATCGTCCTACAGATTCCATAATTCTTCACCAAGCTAATGATATGAAGAAACTTAGAATGCATGTACAGCATGCTTCATCTAAATGTTTGCGGAGTGTGCATGCTCTTAAATTAGACTGTCTCTTGTTGCTGAATTACCTCAAAATAGGATTCACGGTCATAGGCAGTGATCCCATTGTATTAATTCACAGCCATTGCTCCAGAGAGGTTACAGTCTAAAACAAGGGACAGTGGGTACTGATAGATCATTGATGAAGTACAAAAACCAAATAAGCAGTGCAACAATATTGTATGATATGACACAGAATGATCTCAGTGTACTGCTGACTTAAAGGTCATAAAAGTATTTTTATTGGCACCTTTGCCTGAGATAATGTCTGAATTAAGTGATGTCTCGTTTTCTCCAACTGCAGTGGTGAACCACTGAAAGAGACAGTTAAACTTGAGGATGGTCGAATTGGAGAGAGGCCAGAAATAGTTTATCATGTAATTCACACAATTTTACTTGGTTGTCTAGCGATGTGTTTGGAAGGGTAAGTCTGATTTTTGATGTATCTCTTTTGAAAGCAACAGAGAGTTCCTAACTGGACGTGATACACCATTCACCCCTTTGAAATTCACCCCTTTTCAGAAATGTATTTAGCATGTAGTGGTACGAGTTAGTAGGGGAGATAGCAAAGATAATTTTGACTACAAATTGGATACACGTATATGATGAGTTGTGCTCAGTCTCTTTAACATGTTTTCCAAGCTTTAATGCAGCCAAAATCCGAGACGTTAATTGAAGCAAATTTTAATCATTTTCTTTATGGTATTTAAGTGTAGAACTGCACTGTAATTCTTTTAGTATTGTATTCTAGCAAGTTCTTGTGTAGTGTTTTGATGAACAGTGTATGTTCTGGAATATTGGAACGTGGAAGATTTCTCACCTATCTTCTCGTGTCTAGGCTAGCGTGAAGTATACCTTTGCTTGACATGCTAAAGCAGTAGCAAAGCTGTTTCAAAGGTATTGTGTTAGTCTTTAAAGCTACAGAAGCTAATGTTGGGAAGATGTTGTTGTTCTAATCTCGGCTCTTAGCTAAATCAGCTTGAAGGTGGCAGACTTGTGTTTGTATTATGCTCATCGTCCTAAAATCTGAATATTCACAAATTCTTAAAGTGAGCAGACTGTTGTGTTACCATGTAGTTGTCTTGTCTATCCTTAAGAGGCAGACAATACCAGCAAATCGTAAATTGTTTATTAAATATTTTCCTTTCCTTTCTTCAGGAACTCCTTTATAGTACAGTGTCTGTACAGCTTTGCTGAATAGCTGCTTTTTATCCTTGCTTGGCTGGAAAACCACAACAGCCAAGTGACTTTACTAGTCTCTTTGTTTTTCTTTCATCCTCCCCTGAACTCTGTGAAGGATTTTGTCATCTTTGACCTTGGATCTTGCTCCTACATCTTGCAGCAGATAATCAGGTGCCTGCTCTTCTGCTAGAGATTTCCTTGGTTTACCCTTCAGTGCCATCAAATTTGATCTCAGATTGCTTGAACATCCAGACTGTTTGACATATGAAAAAAATCTGAATGTTTTTATAAATAGCTTGAATACAGAGGCATGCAAAGAGTCCCAACTAAGTTATTGCAATGTTTTTCAGAATGAAATATCTATGGACACCTTATGTTTGCATGCTTGCTGCATTTGGTGTGTGCTCTCCTGAACTTTGGATGACGCTTTTCAAGTGGCTTCGACTGAAAGCTGTGCACCCGATATTGCTGGTGAGTTGCTGTTGCCAATGTCTTGGGAATTACAGCTAGCAAGCAACTTTTCAAACAACAATGACCTAAGACCTATAGAAGAACGCATTAAAAGAACATGTAGTTCTGTGAGCAGTGGATCTCTCGTAGTCTGCTTTTTCTGTGTCTTTCATTCTTAATATCACACTTTCACATATTCTCTGGTACCTGGTGATAAAGTTGTGTTCACACTACAGCCTTTCCTCATAAGAAGCAAAGCTGTTTTCATCTCTCTCTCTTTCACTCATCTGTTTAATTTCTTTTGACGAATCTTTGAGACCTCAAGCCCTCTGTCATATTTAGTTGAGATTGACCAAGAAGGTCAAGCGCTCTGTAGGAGGAGTGCAGGAGAAAAAGTACAGGCATACAGGCAAGCTTATGTAGGTAAGCACCGATATAAGCCTTGTTTCACTAGGAAATGAGGCTAAAAATGTGGTAGTTAGGTGTATTAATTGCTGAGAATAAAGCTGCATCATAAGAAAAGGTATGTGGAATTACTTTGCATAAGATTTGTTTATGTGTGGCCGTTACAGAGAAGTGTTGCGATTCAAGATGAGCTTGTGCTACAGTGCAAACAACTCCCCCCGCTTCCAACCCTGGCTTTATTCTTAATATGCTGAGAGTTGCTTTGTGCAATTTTTGGCAGCTTTCTGCATTTATTTTATTAATAAAATAAGGATAGGATATTACTTACCTTAATTTTGAGAGGCTTATAGGAATAAATATTTTGTACTTAAACAGAGATTCACTATGTCACTTGTGAAAATGCCATACACTGTTACATCAGAAACATTGACAGTGTTCTTCCACTCAAGGAGTAACAATATGTTCATGTACACAGTAAACACATTCCTTTATATACCTCATGTTTTCTGCTATATAGACCTGCTTTATTACTATTAACATAGTAGATATGTTAATAGCTTATTATCAAGAGAGTGCCTTCTGTGCACTCCTTACCAAATGTTTCCTGTACCACACGAGCTATTTTCTTCTTTTCACAAAGCGAAAATTTTATCAGCTAGAATGATGGTGTGCTGAAGAATGGGTTTCTGGGGTTTGCATATCAATATTGTTAATCTGAACAAAAACATCAACAAGATCAGAGGTTTGACATGCTTATTTCGTACTCTTTTTCCTTTCTCAGATTATCTCATTTTCATTTGTATGTGAGAGGTGTTTGCTTTTCTTCTGTTCCCTACATCATGTGCACATTGCATCATTGTTATTGGAGCAGTAATTAACCATCCCTAATATTGGTGGTAAAATTATCGTGGGTCAAATAAGTTCTTCCATGCTAAATTAGGCAAATTCTTGTTTGTGGAGAGCCTTTTGCCTTGTAGAAAACTGAAGTTTCACCTACTGTCATTCCAAGATTTCAGGCATAAATGTAGTCTACTATATGAGCAGAATCAACAGATAGTCCAAGGCTGGGGAATGGAGAATGGTCCATAATCCATTTCTTCTAATGTGTGTTTTCTAGGCTCTTATTCTGAGTATGGCAGTTCCCACAATAATTGGATTCAGCTTGTGGAAAGAGGTAAGAAAAGTACCTTTGTTTTTTTTTGTTTTGTATGTAGGCACAATATGAGTCAAAATGATGAGCAAATATAATGAAATATACTTAGTGAAATGAAATATATATGGTGAAATAAAAGCTGTCATCCACTGAAAATATGTTTTGGTTTGTTGTTGTTGTTTTTTTTTTTTTTTAAACAAAACTGTTTACATTTTTCAGTATTATGTATTTGACAATTTAATTTGTTAATGATCGCTTATTGTAATTAATAAGTGTTTAAATTAAATGAAGACTTTATTATATTCAGCTATTGCGCTTTGGATATATAAACTGACTCAAGAAAGAAAATACTGCCAAATAAAAACTCGGGATATTGAAAACTTTGTTGCTCCAATCTTGGTTTTAGTGAGAGGGAGTGAGGTTAAATGGAAGTAAAATTATGGGAGGCCATACGCAAATAATCTGTTTGAAAAGCTCCCATCAAATTATAATGGAGTTAAATCCTTCGTGCAGAGCACTGTGTAGAGGTATGTATATACTACAATACAGGGAAGAAAAGCTACAGATGTTTCCATGTTTAAAATAAATACTTAGTTCTTTATTGCAAGTCACAGACAGACTTTATAAGTAATTATTTTTTAAACTTCTGTAAGTGCAAAAAATATATGAAATATCCTATAAAGTATAAGCCTCTACTATACTGACATATCTTCAAAATAGTTAGTTTGAATAGTTTTATAAGAATTCAAATATTTATTTTTTTAAACAGCATTCAAATATAAAAGCCAGTCTTGACCAACAGTATTTGAACAGATTTTGTAACATCTATCTTATAATAGAAATTTTGGTTGCAATGTAATCTGACTCTTTACACATTTCTGCCAGAGCAGTAGATATTCTCCTGAAAAAAAGCTACAGTTGCTCAAAAGACTTATGAAATGTATTACAATAGAGGAAACTAGTTTAGTTGACCAAATAATTCTTTTTCAGATTATTTTTTAATAAAAGCAGTGTGGGGGTTTGGGCTCTAGAGGGCTTCATCCATTGCAGATCCAGCTTTTGCTTTTAAGCAGTGGTGAACAGTTTGCTCTCCAGGTTCATAACTCATTCCTGAGCTTGGAAACTTTGATTAATAGTAACGGGACAGTGCAAATGCCTTAAGCTCTTAATCTGTTACCGTGGCTATAAATGGCTGAGTGTACAGCTCAGCATCTTTCTGCTTGGCTGCCTTCTGACTCAGTCTGGCATAGTCCCTCATCTAACTAGATTTTTCTAAGGGCTCTGATTGATAAGTGAAGCTGGTTCTCCTTGGGGTGGCAGCAGTAGTTCCTCTTTCTGTCGTCTTCTGTTCCAGGGACAGTTCAGGCATATGTGTAACAATACTGCTACAGCTTTCAGCCCTGGTACGAACATATGGCAGCTGTTCTTGTGCTACCCTAACATGTCTGGTTGTAGACTGCTATCACTTGCCAGCTGAATTGTCCCAGTAATGGGGGTGGAAACTCCACAGTTAAAAGCAGGCTCCCATTTCCAGCTGTCTATCCACTATGGCTGTCTCAAAGTAAGTTGTCCCTTTAGTCTGGCATAACCTGTGAACTGTATCCTTTTCAAAAGAGCTGGCATCCAGTAGCTTTCACTTAGCATTTACAACAGCATGAACATCCTCCAGCCTCTCAAGGCTGGCCAGCTTCTAGTCATGCCTTCTTCCGATAAATGCTCAAAATGGCTCTAGGACTTACAAAGTGGCTGAATATGAGCCGTCATTGTGCCCAGGTAGCCAAGAAGGCCAGTAGCATCCTGGCCTGTATCAGAAACAGTGTGGCCAGTAGGAGTAGGGAAGTGATTGTGCCCCTGTACTCGGCACTGGTGAGGCCGCACCTCAAATACTGTGTTCAGTTTTGGGCCCCTCACTACAAGAAGGACATTGAGGTGCTGGAGCGTGTCCAGAGAAGGGCAACGAAGCTGGTGAAGGGTCTAGAGAACAAGTCTTATGAGGAGCGGCTGAGGGAACTGGGGTTGTTTAGCCTGGAGAAAAGGAGGCT